GTGGTGATGCTGGGAGGCGGTGGTGATGCTGGGAGGCGGCGGTTGGTGACCTTTCAGGAGTGTGTGCTGACGGGGATGGGTTCTCTTCACAGGTACTGTACGGATGACATGCTACAGAGAGAAATGATGTCCAGCCCTTTCCTGGGGAGCTACGGGGTCATCATCCTGGATGACATCCACGAAAGGAGCATTGCCACCGATGTGTTACTCGGACTCCTTAAGGACGTGTTACTGGCAAGACCGGAATTGAAGCTCATTATTAACACCTCCCCTCTGCTTATCAGCAAGCTTAGCGCTTATTATGGGAACGCCGTGCCTGTCATCGAAGTGAGGACCAAGCACCCCGTGGAGGTGGTGTACCTCAGCGGGGCACACAAGGACCCCGTGGAGTCCGTCTCACGCCTTATCTTTGAAATTCACCACTCTGGTGAGAAGGGTGACTTGGTCGTCTTTCTGGCCTGTGAACAAGTGAGTAATATTCCAGCCTAACAGGGTTCATTTGCTAATTAACTGTTTAAATGTTTGCTCCCGCTTGTGAGGACAGGCAGGGTGAGACCACTGTTCCCAGGTACCATGGGCAAGAGGAGGTTTTTCTTAAGACCATTTGCAGTTCTGAAAACACAAAGAATGGGTTCAGCATTTTGAGGAGTCTCTGGACTTGCTCTCCCGAGCTAGCTTCCACCCAGACACAGTCTGAAGCACACACGGGCCGCCCCACATACAAAGCAAAGACTAGCAGCTGTAAGTTGGTGTCTGATTAGGGAAGGCGGGTGCTGATGCCCATGTTCATGGCTGCCTGCAGCTTGCAGTGAGTCTATCTTCATGGAGTACGTCGTCACCACCTGTGGGCACAGGTGGCCACCTCGAGCTTTGCTGAGTCAGTGTCCCTTGGAGAAGGTGGCTGCTGACCCAGCATGTTCCTGGCCACCTCCCTGAACATTTACTGGACATCAGGTTGTAACCTAGGTGCTTGACACCCTTCCTCTGGCCTTACCTCCCTCCTCTTCTCTCTCTCTCTCTCTCTCTCTCCTTCTCTCTGTCTCTCTCTCCCTCCTCCTCTCTCGCTCTCTTTCCTTCTCTCTCTCTCCTTCTCTCTCTGTGTCTCTCCCTCCCTCCCTCCCCTTCTCTCGCTCCTTCCTTCCTTCTCTCTCCTTTCCTTCTGTCTGACTCTGTCTCTCTCTCCTTCTCTTTCTGTGATCTCTCTCTCCTTCTCTCTCTCTCTGTTCTTCTCTCTCTCCTTCTGTCTGACTCTGTCTCTCTCTCATTACTCTCCAATCAGAACCAACTCAGGCTGGCCCTCTGTTAGATTTCCAAGGCTATGAACTGCACAGGAGGAGATTGCCCGTCTTTCCCCTGAGTCCTGGGAGCAGTGAGGCAGAAGGCGGCTCCCTCTCTAGATCAGAGCTCCTCATCTGAACAAAGTGTATGAGAAAACACTTCATTTTCTTGAGAGTCTCCTCAAACAACTGAAAATACACAACTGAGAACCTTCTTCTTCTGTTACTGGTTTATGTGGTCAGGGTGTTGTTGGGGTTATAGCCGCTGCTGCTTTCTCCTCTCTTGTTGACTGGATCCCATAGCCCCCGCATCCCCACATTAGAATTTTCTCCTTACACACTAATTGTTGGCGCTCTCCCCCAGCACACATCTCCTCCCTCCCCACGTGAAAGCACTAGTCTTCAGATCATGAGCTAACTGTGTAGTGTTTCCTATAGTTAAATAGTGACTCAGGAGGAGATCATTGAGATCAGCTAGGCAGCAGCTGGGCAAAGACAAGCGCCCGAGGCATGAGTCTAGCACTTCAGTATCTGGGTGCCTTCCCGGGATTTGGTGTCTATCAAAGTGCAAAGGAACACCAGTCCTCCCAGCGCTGGGACCTTACCACTTATATTTCATCTCCTTCCTTAAAGAAAGTTATCTCAGATCTCAGATGTTTATCATTAACTGCAATATATTTCTCACTTTTCTGTGTGTGTACATAGAATAGACATACTCTCGCGGACAATAAGTGAACTACATCTTCTCCCTTCCATGTAGGGAGCTTCTGTGACTTACTGTTGTTGTTAGATGCAGTCATGTAAAAAAAAAAATCAAAATGAGTGTCAGAAAAGACTGTGAACATTACATTACAGCATAAAAAAGCCAAAGCAAGAGAAAGAGACCAGAAGAAAAAGAGCTTAAATACAAGATTTTAAAGGGTAGCTCAAGAAGACAAAGCAAAATATACAAGGAAAAATGTACAAAGAGCTAGCATCAGAAAATAAGAAGGGAAGAACTCGCTCTATATTTCCCTGTGGTTAATAGGGAGCCTGTTTATTTCGGGTCAGCTTGTGATACATTACCCTACCTTTTATTCTCGCTGCTCTGAAGATGAAGTATAAATTCTGTTTCTTACAGAAGGCCGTTTTTTCTACTTAGAGTTTTTATTAAATCCTGTTTAGTGACGTAAATGAAGATTCTTGCGTGTGGAAGTTTGTTAGGCCCTATAGAACGCAACAATTTTAGAAACCAATTATAAAAGAGTAAGAACCTGACGCTTTTGCAGCAGAAGGTCAAAGACTGTAGTCTGCATTATGGATTGAAGCTCAACATCAGGAAGAGAAAGATTCTCACCACTGGGCCAATTGGTAGCACCGTGATAGATGTTTTTTAACAAGTTCAGCTTGCTCGCCTCCACAGTCAACACTCTTGGCAACAGCAGTCAGGAAATCAAAAGACAAATTGCACTGGGAAAATCTGCTGTCAGTGACCTTTCCACAAGGTGCTAAAGAGAAATGACGTCTGTCTGGAGGGAGATTAAGGTGCACCTTTTTCAGACCATAGTCTTCATAATTACTTGCTACACATCAGAGAGCTGAACAGTGACTAGGGATGACAGAAGAACTCGATCCCTTTGAGTTATGGTGCTGGGGAAGAGTCTTGAACATGCTGTGGATTGCCAAGAACAAACAGGTCTGTCCTGGAGAAGGTGAAACTAGGTTGCTCCTTGGAGGCAAGGATTTTGAAGCTTCTCTACTTTGGGCAAATGGCAAGAAGGGATCTGTCCTTGGAGAAGGACATCATGCTTGGAAGGGTAGAGGGTCAGCCCAGGACAGGAAAATCTGAATGAGATGGATTGACACAGTCACTGAGTTAATGGGGATAGGTGTGTCAGAGTCGGTGAGACTGGCTCAGGATACGGCTGATGCAAAGCTGTTACACGTAGGGTCACAGGCAACTCAATGATGCATAACAAGAAGAAAAATTAAGTGGTATCTTTTTTAACATTAAGGTGTTAGGTCTTCACACTGGATTTAAGGCCAAGGACTCAAGGAAGAGACCAAAGACAGAGAAAGAAAGCTTAAAACGACTTTGGGGTGGGGGGCTCTCCCAGACAAGATGCCTTGGTTGGAGAGAGATAGACCAGGTGAGGTGGGGCAGGTTTTTAAAGCAGGGTCTTCAGGGAGGGAAGAGAGGGACATTCCATCATGGTCATGGTTCAGCCAGGTGGGCCAGGCCTTTCTCTCCCTTTGTTGACATGTTGTATTCTTTGACTCCTTTATTCTCCCCCTTGACCTTGGCCTGGGCCTGACATAAGGGATATTTTTAAGTCAAGTCAAAAGTTCTGTAATTTGAAAAAGATTATCTAACATAGTTTTCCTTTGGAGCATTTTATACCAATTCTTTCCCCATCAGTTTTTTGGTTTTGTGGGGTATTTTTGTTTGTTTTCAAATAATTTCTTTTTGTATTCTTTTTTTTTTCTATAATTATATTTTATTAATTTTCATAAACATTTACAGAGATTTTGGGCTTCCACTCATTCATTGTTGCACTATTCTCTCTACCCTCCTCCCAGTTTGTTCTTGTCCAAATGCCACAGTGCTTGTCAAAGCCAGTTCTGATCAATCTTCTTTGTCAGTGTATCCTTTGCCATTCCCTATCACTCCTCCCTGAGAGAGACTTCACCCTGAGTCATAAGGAAAAGGGCACGGCGTATTCTCTTAGCTACTTCCTGCTGAAAAGGGACGCTGTGGGTTTCAGGGTGAAGATCTTCTCTCACTACTCTAAAGGGCCCCTTTGGCAGTAGGAAACACATAGACTATTATGGAGATTGATTTTGGAATTCAGATGCACTCTTATTGATTGTGCTTGGCTGTACATGTACATATCCTTGAAGATGTATCATGGGGGTGTTGCAACCTAGAAGACACAAATTTGACTAACAAGTTATAAGTACATGAGTCCAAAAATTATGGAAAAGTAAAAGAAAAGATTCTTTCATTGTTTTACAAACCCTCCCCCAGGTCCCCTCCACCATGCAGCCCTCGCTCTAGTCTCCTGTGATGACAGAAATACCCAGTTACATCTCTCTTTTAAACGGTTCTCTCCCTCCTCTGTTTCAGTGCAGTATACATTATTGAACCCATCTTACTCAGTCTCTCCCCAACCCCAAGGACAGTCCCATTCTACAACAGTGGCATCATGTAATATTTGTCCTTTTGTGACTGGGATATTTCACTCAGCATAATGTTCTCCAGAGTCAACCATTTTGAATAATATTGCATGAGTTCCTTGTTTTTTAATGCAGCATAGTATTCCATTGTGCGAATATACCACAGCTTCTCTAGCCATTCGTTTGTTGATGGGCACTTAGGTTGTTTCCAGCTCCTTGCTATTGTGAACAAAGCTGCAATAAACATGGGTGTGCATATATCTGCTTGGATGTCAGCTATGGTCTCTTCAGGGTATATTCCCGGTAGTGGAATTGCTGGGTCAAATGGTATCTCTATTTGCAACTTTTTGAGAAAGCGCCATACTGCTTTCCACAGGGGTTGCACCATTTTACACTCCCACCAACAGTGAATCAGGGTTCCAGTTTCTCCACAACCTCGCCAGCATCTGTTGCTTGCTGTTCTGTTAAATTTTGCTATTTTGACTGGGGTGAAATGATATCTCATAGTTGTTTTAATTTGCATCTCTCTTAGGGCTAGGGATTTTGAGCATTTCTTCATGTGTTTGTTAGCCATCTGAATGTCGTCTTCGGTGAAGTGCCTGTTCATATCCTGTGCCCATTTTTCTATTGGATTATTTACCTTTATCTTGTTGTGGTGTTCAAGTATTTCATAAATTCTGGATATAAGTCCCTTATCTGATATGTTATTACCGAATACTTTTTCCCAGTCAGTGGCTTCCCTCTTTACCCTACTGGAGAAGTTTTTGAATGTGCATAGGGATTTGAGTCTTTTTGTATTCTTAATACATTTGACAGATAAAAATTTTAAGAGGGTATTTCTAAATATCTGAGTCATGCAAAAATGAAAATGGCAATGACTGTTTCTCTGTTTACTGTAGTTCTGTTTTACAGTGATACGGAAATTTTCCAGATGAAAATCCTGATAACGGGATATGGGTACTTGTGCTTTTTATAGTAAACCTTGTAGCAGTTTTAGAATTGTATTTCTTTCTGTAGTCCTTAAAGCATGAGGAGGCCTTTTCACTGATGTGGGAATAACTTTTGCTCACTGGTCATTGTTATCAGATAGAAGAAATTGCATGAAGCTAGAATATAAACAAGACAAACACATATAGGTGAAGAGAGTACATTTCTCAAGAGGAAACACAGTTTGGACAGAACGCAATGAAATTGTCTATATCCCCAAGGAAATGTTCTTACCTGGGTGGACACCTCAGTCCCACTTAATGATATACTTCAGGCATTTTGATAAAAGCATTTCTCCTCATGTAGTGATTGCAACCTTGTTAGGGGCCATTGAATTCATAACAACCGTACGGAGGACAGATCTGAGCTGCGCCCTGGCCTGTACCATCCGCACGGTCCCTATGACACTCAAGCCCATTGGTGCAGTCAGTGTGTCACTTGTCAGTCTCTTGTCGAGGGTCTTCCTCCCTCTCTCTGAACCCCCACCTTTCCCAGCATGTCTTTCTCCAAGGGCCAGCACCTCCTGACAACAGGCCCTGAGTAAAAGGTTAGGGGAGCTCTGGTGTCCTAGTGGCAAGAACCTGCACTACAATCCCAGAGGAACACGGTTCGAATCCACCAGTTGCTCTGCCGGAGAAGAAGGCGCAATATCCTCCTGTACCAGTCAGATCTGATTTGACGGTACACGCACACAAAATAATAATAATAAAAAACAAATTAAAAAAATTAAAAAAAAAGGTGTGTGGACTTGGTTCTCATAGAAGATGCTTCCTTTTTCTGTTTTTATTTTTTTTAATTTTTTTTATTATTTATTGTATGTGTACCATCAAATCAGATCTGACTGGAACAGGAGGAAAATGCACCCTCCTTCTCCGGCAGAGCATCAGGTGGATTTGAGCCGTGTACCTCTGGGATTGCAGTACAGCTTCTTGCCACTAGGATGCTTCCTTTTCCTTTAGGATATAGAAAAAGCCTATGAAGTTGTCTGCCAAGAAGGAGCCAATTTAAACCCGGATCTCGGAGAACTGGTGGTGGTTCCTCTGTACCCGAAGGAGAAGTGCTCACCCTTCAAGCCAACTGAGGAGGCGGAGAGGCAAGGGCAGGCGTATCAGAGAAGGGTGGTGCTGACCACCAGCTGTGGGGAATCCATGATTTGCAGCAACAGCGTCCGATTTGTCATCGATGTGGGCGTGGAGAGGAGAAAGGTGAGTCAGGCATGGGGATCCTGGGCACTCGTCGTTTCAGGGACCAGAAAGTGAAGGCGGAGGTGAGTGAGTGAGCCGTGTGTCTCTCCTTGGCCCTGTGTGCCAGGAACAGACTTCTCCACCGGGAGTTTCTGCCTTTCAGTGGTGCCGTGGCCGTCTGGGAACGTTGCGGAGTTGATTGAAGGGCCAGTGGAAGATATTTTGAGGAAATACCCTCAAGCCCAAGGTGGTGGTTCTCTTTGTCATTTAGCTCAGAGCCTGATGAAGGTGCTCTAGTTGAAGCAGCCTGTGTCTGGGCTACTCACTCACAGGCAGCCCCTCTCAGAGAGAGAGAGGTGGGCAGTCTCCTCCGCGGCCTAGGAAACCCGCTGGAGGGTTCTCATGAGGAAGACCGACACACCAGTGCTTCCACGGCAGCCTGTGTGACTGCTAGCCGGGCCTTCCCTCTGTCTGTCCACTGAGCATTTGTTAGCAGCCCTTTTATCAAAGGAATGAGTGTCTTCCCCCAGGGAATTTATTAAAGCTTTATTTTTTAGCGTATTTTGGCTTTAAAACTGGCATGGTACAATTCCATCCTAAGTTTTAAAATTTGTATTTGTTGGTATGTACTGTTGAGCCAGAACTGATCTGGAGCTGACCACGCAGCGGGTTTTCAGAGGCAGTAAATCGCACGAGGACATAGAGTGTCCTTCAGAGACAGGAGAGCTTTGGAAGGTCCAGCAGTCTTTCAGAGCTGGGAGGCCGCTCCTGTGAGGTGGCTCCGGACCCATTTGAGTTGCTGAAAACAAATTGCTGTCAAGTTGGAACTGCCTCACGGCTGACCCTCCAGCAGGGATTCCAAGGCTGCACATCTCACGGGAGGAGGTGGTCCATCTTTCTCCCTCAGAGCTGCTGGTGAATTCAAACCACTGGAGAGGCAGCACCTTTCTGTTAACACAATACCCGGGGACAACGCCACAGAGGATGAGTATCCTTTCTCCCCGGAGGAGACTGGGGTTTCTTGGTCTTCTCTCTAGCCTTGTCTTGCTGTGACGGGTGATCCTAACCACCATACAGGTCCCTGGAACCCCCGTGGGTTGAGCTGGACTCTGTCAGTCCAGCAGACACTGGGCAGTGGCTTGTGCTCTGAAATGTGCCCTAAAATAACTGTGGTTAATGCTGGATGCAGTTTTCACGCTCACTGTCAGATGGGAAGGCTGAGCTTCTGTCAGGAAGGTGAGAACTCCAAGAGTTCTACTGTGAACCGAGCAGGACTTGAAGGGGCGTGTTGCCCTCTGCGTGGCCACCCCCAGCGTAGTCACTGACAGGTGGCAGCACAGGTCCCTAAGCAGGTGACACAGCAGTCCTGTATTCATCAAGGCCACGGTGGAAGCAGACGCCTTTGAACCTGCTCTTCTGAGCACTCAGTTTCCATGTCAGGCCGCATGAAGCAGTACCACCTAGTGCACAGGCAAACACGAGTGTGCGTCAGTGTCCCTGAAGTGCTGCGCCCAGGGCGGGCCGCTGACCGGAGCGGCCCAGCTAACACTGCCGTCTTCCCCCTGAAGGTGTACAACCCCAGGATCCGAGCCGACTCGCTGGTCACGCGGCCCATCAGCCAGAACCAGGCGGAGATCCGCAAGCAGATGCTCGGGCCTTCCTCATCAGGTAGCCCCGGGCACGGGAACAGAAGGGTGGGATCCTGCAGGAGGGGACCTGAGGCGTGACAGTGCCCTCCCCGGTCTTTTCCAGGCAAGCTCTTCTGTCTGTACTCGGAGGAGTTTGCATCCCGGGACATGAAGCCCCTCCAGCCGGCGGAGATGCAGGAGGCCAACCTGACCAGCATGGTGCTGTTCATGAAGAGGATTGACATCGCCGGCCTGGGCCACTGCGACTTCATGAACCAGCCAGGTAGCTCCGTGCCCACGCGGCAGTCAGCAGGGCGGCTGGGCAGATGGCCTCGTGGTGCTCCGTGCCCACGCAGCAGTCAGCAGGGCGGCTGGGCAGATGGCCTCGTGATGCTCCGTGCCCATGTGTCAGTCAGCACGGTCTCTGGGTGGAGTGGCCTCGTGATGCTCCGTGCCCACGCGGCAGTCAGCAGGGCCGCTGGGCGGAGTGGCCTCGTGGTGCTCCGTGCCCACGCGGCAGTCAGCAGGGCCGCTGGGCAGATGGCCTCGTGGTGCTCCATGCCCACGCGGCAGTCAGCAGGGCGGCTGGGCAGATGGCCTCGTGGTGCTCCGTGCTCACGCGGCAGTCAGCTGGGCAGATGGCCTTGTGGTGCTCCGTGCCCACGCGGCAGTCAGCACGGTCTCTGGGTGGAGTGGCCTCGTGGTCCCTGATATCCATCCCATTGCACTTTCCCATCGGGTACCGTGTGCTCTTGCTCTGATCCTGACCCCCGCGGCCCCACAGGGAGCAGGCCTGCCGACAGGGCATCTTGACCGCATCCTTTGCGAAGCATTTGCCAGGTCTCTCTCCCAAGCAGCCACTGCCAGCCATGTGCTCACCCACTGGGCCATCGAGGCACCTACTTTTTCCTGCAAAAGGTAGAAAATTCCTAGAGGGAATTAAAAATGAAACAGAACTCTGGGCACCGTGTGTCCTGCCACTGGACACAGGGTCGGAGAGATGAGGGCAGTGAGGTGGGACACATGTGGCTAACGGCAGCCGAGGGCCGGGCAGGACACCTGGCAGCATTAGCTGGATTCCTGGGGATGGATGTGTGTTGGCACAGGCCTTCCTCAGGAGCCTTGGTGGGACAGCAGATTGAGCATTGGGCTGCCAGCCAAAAGGTCCATGGTTTGAACCCACCCACTGCTCCCTGGGAGAGAGACAGGCCCTCTGTTCCTGTGAAGATGGAGGCCTTGGGCACCTGGGGGCAGGTCCGCCCTGGCCTGCAGGACACTGTGAGAGAGAATCATAAATAGCAGTGGGTTTGGCCTTTGTCCATGACTCATACGGTCACATGGTGAAAAGTCACTAGAATCCCGTTTCTCTGTGGTACAAAGCAGACTTTCCTGTGAGCAAAGTAAACTCTTTAAGCTCAGGACTCAGACTTCATGATTATGACCAGAATGCTTCTCTGCGGCCACTGTATCAATCCCATGATGCCCTCTGGCTGGTGGCTTTACTGCGACCACCAGGATTCAGACTAAGGGGGCTAAGGGGTCTTGACGGCAAGTAGCTTGTCGCCATGTGGCGGGCACAGTGGACACCAAGGGCCCCATGCGACACAGTGGACACTACAGGCCTCATGTGACAGGCCCCATGGATACCACAGACCCTGTGTGAGAGGCCCCATGGATACCACGGGCCCCATGTGACGGGCACAGTGGACACCACGGGCCCCATGTGACAGGCACAGTGGACACCATGAGCCCCATGTGACAGACACAGTGGACACCACAGGCCTCATGTGACAAGCTGCATGGATACCACAGGCCCTGTGTGACGGGCCCCATGAATACCATAGGCCCCATGTGATGGGCACGGTGGACGCCGTGGGCCTGGGAAGGGCAGGAAGGTCTTGCTCAGTCGACTCCCTGGTCTCTTCAGGGTCTTGGCTGCTGGCTCTCATATCAAGAAGTGACCTGGGCTGTCAAGCATTCAGCCACCCCACCATTCGTAACTCATTTGTGTCCTCTCAGGAATGACCGTGTTGCTCATTGTTTACTGGTATTTGTTAACGTTCAGGATTATTGTGATTCTGTGAGGTTAGTGCTGTTACTGCTCCATTGTACAGATGAGAACATTAAGTGACAGAGAAGCTTAGTGACTTTTGCAAATGGAGGGTGACACTCCAGCCCCGGCAGGGTGCAGTTCGAAGAGCTCCCCATCACTCTGCTCGAAACCAAACCCACTGTCCCAGTGGGACACAGTGCAGCTGCCCAGGGCTTCTGAGGCTGAAACTGTAAGCATGCGGCCCTGCCTCCTCTTTCTCTAGGGGAGCAGTTGGTGAGTTCGAATCCACAACCCTCTAGTTTTGCTGCCAGTTGCTTAATCCACTGTGCTAGAGTGGCTCCTAGAACTAGACCAGCACCCCGTCAGCTTCGCCGTGGTCCCCACGAACCCTTCGGGTCCTTGGAGCTTCTCTGTCTCCTGGACGTTCTCTGATGCTAGGACCTGTGGCTCGTTAGACAGGGAGGGGCCTGGAGAGCGTGGGGAGGGTCCCACAACCCCTCAGGCTCTATTCTTGTGGCTGGATTCCTCCAGTGATGCTCAGTGAGCCTGTGACGGTCAAGACACCCTTCCTGGTCCCTGGGAAGTAGGACTGGGAATAGCCAGGGTCCCTGCCCTCCCAGCCTCGTTTCTCAGTAGTGACCTTACAGCTTCAGAAGACACTTGATGTCCTCACACCTGCCTCAGGCCATCCTCCAGCCCCAGCCCCACTGCTCTCCCCCCCTTCATGTCAGACAGTAGAGGAGCCCAGAGAGGAAGGGAGAAGAAACATACCCCACACACACACCCTTTGTAGCATCAGGACACGAGGAGCTGGTCACAGCCATGCGTCCATTCCTCGATTCCTCACTGCTCAGCCATCTCCCTCTGCAACTTCACCAGGAAGCCCACAGCCAGTCACAGGGACAGATCGGATGGTCCCACTTTATTTTTGTCCCCTGACTATGCACATAGCTATTTTCTGCTGTGCTTTGGGGAAATGCGGATTAACTCTGACTCATTGTTTAGGAAGCAAAGGGGGGGGAAAAGTTGACACAGCTGCTGAATTTAATTCAAGTTGTAACTGAGGCCCGTGCAGCAGGGCGCTGCCTTTTTCAGACTCGTGGACCGCATGAAATGGTTTTGGCGTAACTGGGCCACCGGTTAGTAATGGAATTCTCTGGATGTGGACCTTACTAAAAAACAAAAGCAACCTAGAATCCTCTCCTCTTCCTGCCTGTCGGCCTGAGGACCGCCAATCACGAATGACTCGGGAAGCGTTTCCAGGGCCAGGACCTAAGGAGGGCCTACCGTGCCCGTGAAGGGTGGCCCTCAAATGGCAGTGGGGCCTTTACAGATGCATGGGGAAATCTGACAAAAATGTACAAGATTATTTCAGATACCGTCTTCGTGTTCAGATATAAAACTCACTTGGGTGCTTTTCTTTTTTTTTTTTTTCAATTATTTTTTTTATTATTATTAATTTTCATGAATGTTTACAGAGACTTTGGCTTTTCATTCATTGATTGTTGCATTTTTCTCCCTGTGGTTTGTGCTCTGTGCCCTGTGTTGCTCTGTCAAATGCTAATGTTGACTGTCAAGGTCAAGGAGAATGCCTTGCTTGGAATAGTGGTAGGAAGTAAACAGGTGTAGCCACCACTGTTATCAATATCAGGAACTTCTAAAAGCAGAATGAAGAGATGGGGGAAGTCACTTCCCCAGTCTTCCTCGCCCTGGTAAATAACTTTTTTAACGTCCTGTCTCACCATTTCTTTCATTTGTCCGTGTTCCAAGTCAGTTTTCCTTGATTAACTTTTAACTGTTCTAGTCTCATGTGTCGTCTTTTCTTGCCTCCTCATTCTTGATTGGATGATGGACATTGTGGGCATTGCCTGACTGGAAGCTGGGTATTTCTGTGTCCTTATAAGCATCCTTTAGCCTTGTCCTGGAAGGCACCTACACCTGCTCATCCCCTGCCGGCCTTCTTGTTGTCTGATGTTTTGCTTCTAAGACAACCTGCTTTGTACATAAATAGCCTCTCTGTGGCCGTAATCAACAAGGAGGCGTGAGGCCGCAGTCAGGCCCAGTGGTTGTGTGTCGCCCCGGCTGGGCCATGACTCCAGGGGCCAGCAGTCACCAATGGTGTCATCTCCTCCTGGTAATGCTGTAGTTAGCACAGAACAAGAAGCTACCGATCCTGCCTTTGAAACCTAGTCATGCTGGTAAGTGAGGCAGGGGCAGAGTCAGGACTTGCTTTTAAGGATTGTTGGTGAGACTGGCAGAGTGCTCACCTGGGGTGACTCCCTGGCTGTGTTGTGTCCAGGGTCCTGTGAACCAGCTCTCCCAGTCCTGGCGGTGGGAGCAGGCATAGCTGGCAGTGGGCACTGGTCCTCCAGGCCTCCTCAGTGGCTCAGCACGTGGCCCCAGGCTGCGTCCATACACCCTCATGCAGATTGAGGTGGCTGGTGGACCTTGCTGCATGGCCCTGCCATCCTCGCACTCTGACTGAAGATGGTGGCCGTCACAGCAGTTTCCTCATTGCTCAAGAAGCTGGCAGGCTCCTCCCTGGTCACACCCGCGCCCCCTGGAAACTCACCAGCAGGCAGCCCAGCAGCACGGGTCCCCTCTCACTCAGGAGCCCCTGGCGTCCAGTGCCTCGCACAGAGTTGATGCACCTTGTCCATCGAGCGGATGCGTCAGGTGGAGGGTGGACCCAGCGCCTGGGCTCTGCCTCCGCTGCCTCAGAATGAGGCTGTGTGGTCACTGCTCTTTTCTTCTCCAGCCCCTGAGAGCCTGATGCAGGCCCTGGAAGACCTGGACTACCTGGCGGCCCTGGACAACGACGGCAACCTGTCCGAGTTCGGGATCATCATGTCAGAGTTCCCGCTGGACCCTCAGCTCTCCAAGGCCATCTTGGCGTCCTGTGAATTTGACTGTGTGGATGAGATGCTGACAGTGGCTGCCATGGTAACAGGTACCCCTGGAAGGCTGCTCTCGGGCTTGGTACTCGGCTCCAGGGACAGATTTAAATGAGATCTGTTAGAAAGGATCATATCTCAAGAAGTATGTTGCAGACACTGCTTCATCTTTTACAAATGGAATGTAGTATGCTAACAGATTAAAAAGAAAAAAGTTTAAAAAAATAAAAAACATACAGTAAAACCTCCCCCACTACAAACATTCCACAATCCAGTGATTCTCCCTTCAGAAGCAGGAGGTCCCTGTGCAGAGGAGGGTGGGACCCCGACCCCTGCGGACGAGCCCAGGCCCCGCTGGCCCCACAAGCCATGCAGCTCAGCCTGCCTTTCCTCAGACATCAGAATCTCGGCCCCGGTGCCCATGTGCATCTTGTAAAGAGTGTGGAGAAGGGAAGGGCCACACACGTGCTCTTTGCCCAGTCGGCGCGAGTGTTCTCCACCCTCACCGGCTTGACCGCTCCTGGTCACTGGGCTCCAGCTTCTCTGCTTTCTGGGCTGGACCTTCATGCTTGCTCTCACTGCTCCCTGCACCTCATCTTTGAGCCTTCAGGCCACCCCGTCCTGTGTGCTGAGCAAGGCAGCATCTGTAGGTAGGAGAGCCTAGACAAGCAAACAGCAAACGCAGAGACAGGACTGGCGGCCCCTTTGATTTCTCTGACGTGTGCAGCCTGTCTGGGGTGGGTCCTAGCACCTTGCCTCTCTGCATGCTGGGAGCGAGGGGACATTGTCCACATTTCTAACCAGACCCCTGTGCCCTCCCAGCCCCGGACTGCTTCTCGCCTCTGCCGCGTGGAGCCGAGGCAGCGGCCCTGGCTCGCTGGCAGCCCTTTCTGCACCCGGAGGGAGATCACTTCACGCTCATCAATGTTTACAAGGCCTACCAGGATGCGGCCCTGCGCGCTGCCAGTGAGCGTGAGTGCGGGCAGACCGGGGCCTCTCGGTGGTCACACACCCTCCTCGCAGCCCCCCGGGCCCCAGAGGTCCTTAGGGCACTAGAGCAGTAGAAGCACCCCTTTCTGCTCATAGAGCCAGACCCACTGGGATGGGGGGTGATCAGCAGGGCCACAGTGTGTGGCTGAGAGCCGGAAGGCATGGGGGGCCATGAGCACAGCCGTCCTATCCTACTGGGTGCCAGGGCCTGGGCGGTGCATGTGGAAGGAACACGGCCCAAATGGTCACCTCAGGCCGGAGCACAGCTGGGCCCTGTACCGAGTGAAGCTCTGGTGGGCAGCATGTCACAGGCGAGGGGCAGCGTGGGGACGCAGGGCGGTGTGTGAGAACAGGGTTGGCACAGGGAAGACGGCCGTGTCCAGCTGAGTGGACTCAGACCCTCAACCACCAGCGCAGGCTTTGTAGGCTGTGCCATGTCCCCTGTCCACGGCCCGAATAGCCCACGCAGCTGCCAGCCCCCCACGCCCTCGCAACTGCAGTCACGGGTCCCGTCTGTTCTGCCCCCTCCCAGACTGCGTGGAGAAGTGGTGTCAGGACCACCTCCTCCAGTGGGCCGCGCTCAGGACGGCCGACGCCATCCGCGCCGAGCTCACGGACATCATCCGGCGGATCGAGCTGCCCTACGCGGAGCCCGCCTTCGGCTCCCCCGAGAACACCCTGAACATCAAGAAGGCGCTGCTGTCCGGCTACTTCGTGCAGGTGAGGCCGCGGCTGCGGGCAGGGGTCAGGCCAGGACCCCCACACTCCCGACACGCCACCAGGGCACCCCACGAGGGTCGGTGCCTCAGCTCTGGAGGTAAAGCCTGTATTACCCAGGGCCTTAAGAGGACTGAGCAGAACATGGCCTCTTTGTCCAAAAGATCTTGGTCCTTACAGAGGAAAGTCACTAAGACAAGAACCCTAAGTTTGAACCTCAGCCGCAGCCCCGTCCCCCCCGTCTGTGAGTTAGCCGAACTGGAACTGAGGGTGTTGGGCCGTTCTCCCTACAGTGAGGGCTGACTCTGGCAGCCACGCCAATAGCAAGCACACCACAGAAGAGGAGGTATGAGAAATACTCTTCCCCACATAAATACAGCACTCCAGCGACAGGTAACATGAGCTTGGATGGAGCCTTGGGGGCCCAGGCTTGGCCACTGACCCAAAACCCGAAGGTCTGAACTAGCGGCTGTACCAGAGGAGGATGCTGTGGCCCCCTCCACGAAGACTGGCTGTCAGGGGCCTGGGGGACTCCCAGCAGCCGGGCACAGCAGAAGGAACCGTGCTCTGGCATGCCCTCGCCTCACCGCCGCCCACCTCTGTGCTTCAGCCATGGATACAGGCACTGCTCAGCCCGCTCCGCTGAGGGCCTTCCCCTGCTGACTCCATCCTCCAGCGTGATGTCCTTTCCCAAGGACCAGTCCCTGCAGACATGCACGAAGTATAAGCAGTGTCTCAGCATTCTTGCTTGTAAGGAGCATCTTGGCTGCCCCTCTTCCAAGAGATTGGGGGTTCTGCAGTCCAGTGTACACAACAAGTTCCAGGCACATTACACCTTTGGAAGCCTGACAGGGCATTTGTACCCTGTGTTCACGGGCAGTGGGTGTGATGTGGGCCCTCCATACGGAAGGATGGCCAGTGGGTTGTGATGGGGACCCCGTACAGAAGGACAAGTATCTACATCACAGGATTTTGTGAAGATTCAGTGAGTTAAACCGAGTGTGACGTACTTGATACCTCAGTGTGGTCCAACAGCATGCTGGGTAACATGCTTTTTTTTGTAGTTTGTGATAAAACAAATGAGATAACCTACAACCAGGGGAGAATAAAACAGATGAATGGGACCTTCTAAGAGTCAAATCCCTGTGCACATCAAAAACTTCCCCAACAGGTAAACAGGAAACCCACAGATTGGGAAAAAATATTTGGAAATGACCTGATAATGGATTTATATATAAAATTTATTGACTACGCCAGCATCTCAGTAAGAAAAAGGCAAGCAACCCAGTCAAGAAACCGGCAGAAGAGATGAACAGACACTTCACCCAAGAAGACATTCAGGTGGCAGACACATGGAGAAATGTTCAAAATCTCTATCTATCTGACATACAAATCAAAACAATGAGGTATCATCTCACCCCAGCAACAATAGCAAAGTACAGTGGGGCAGCAAACAACAAATGCTGGTGAGGTTGTGGAGGGACTGGAACGCTTCCTGTTAACTGCTGGTGAGAGTGTAAAATGGCACAGCCAATATGGAAAGTGGTCTGGCACTTTCTCAAAAACAAAAAAGGTGGGAAATAGAAATACCATTTGACCCAGCAATTCCACTACTGGGAATATACCCTAAAGAAACCAGAGCCACAACTCAAACAGACGTGTGCACACCCATGTTTATTGCTGTGTTATGCACAATAGCAAAGATGTGGAAGGAATCCAAGTGTCCAGCAACAAATGAATGGATAGAAAAACCATGGTGCATGCACACGATAAAATACCACGCAGCACTGAAAAACAAGGAATTCTTAAAACATTACACAACATGGCTAAGTGTTGCAGACCAAGGGTAAAGTAGATTTAATGAGGCAGAACACCACAAGAATCTAAGAGAAAACAGGTAAGGCAGGAGGCCAACAGTTCTCGACCAACTGAACCCCGGGATTCCAGCGTCCCTGTGCCTTTACTGAAAATTGTCAGGTAACAAATCACAGAGAATTCAATGCAAATGAAGCTAAGCTCCTTCTAGTGAAAACCTTATGCTTGACTCAGGAGGGAGGGGTTGGCAAATATAAGAATCCTGTAAACACTTAAGGTTTGCCTTAATGCCTACCCCTGTAAACGTCTGATTGCCTTAGTGCTTCAGGGTGAATTCCAGCTTCTGGCTGCCTCCCTCATATATCCTGAAATAAATAGCATTTAGTTTATTACAAATATTTAGTATGAAATTTGGCTTTCCACAGGTAAGCCTGGAGGGCAGTATACTGAGTGAAATATCTCAGTGACAGAAGGGCAGACACTGCGTAACAGCACTCATAAAACAGGGCAGACAAGGGGGTGTTGGGGAGAGAATGGGAAGAGAGTAGACAGATAATGACCACCACGAGGTCAGAGGAGGGAAAGAACGGTCTGAAAGGAATCTATGATTAGGTACTATGTGTATGACAACAATCTGGAACAAGGGGTGTATTACAATGTGGGGGAGAAAATGTGCGACAATGAATGAATTAAAAAACTAAGCATCAATGCTTAAAAATATATAAATAAATAATAATAAAACCCCAAGCTGTGTGAGGTCCGCAGCTGCCCTGTCTTGGAGTACTGCCCTGAGTCCCAGTCGGGGGACATCATCTTCAGGGACCCCAATCTGTGCACATGTCCCTGGTGATTTTCTCTCTGCAAACAGGAAGCTCGGCCACAGGGACTCGGGGAGGTGGGAGCGTGCCCCCGGCCCTGGGTCTCCAGCTGACCCGTCTCTCTAAACCCTGTCTTGCAGATCGCACGCGACGTGGACGGGTCAGGGAACTATCTGATGCTGACCCACAAGCAGGTCGCCCAGCTGCACCCTCTCTCCGGCTACGCGCTCACGAGGAAGCTGCCGGAGTGGGTGCTTTTCCACAAGTTCAGCATATCTGAGAACAACTACGTGAGGATCACCTCAGAGATCTCCCCCGAGCTGTAGGTCCACTGGTCGGAGGCTCGTGTGGGGGGACGGCGGGGGGAGATGTGTTCCAGGAATCCACGTTGCCGTGGGTGCTGGACGATGTCTGAAACATGTCCCTGCCTGACTCACGAGGGGCACAGACGTGAGGCCGACTGAGCATCACCACCCCCAGGGACAGACACCCCACTGTGACTGGAGCCGGTGGGTGGGAGGCCAGATCACCCACTTGGTGGCTTGGAAGGTGGGGAGCGATGCTGCCAACCCAACGGGACGCAGTTAGAATCCACCAGCTGCTCTGAGAGAGAAGGATGGGCATTCTCTGTGAAACTCACCGAAAGGTGTACTGAGCTGGTTCCAACGGCACATAACAGATACAGAGCCTTCTCTGCACATCAGAAGCCGGGTCTGCAGAGCAGGAGTGTGTCTGCCTGTGTAGACGGGCCATCTGTGCTGAGAACGGAAACCAGCGTGCAGGGTGGTGGTGTCTGCCTGTGTAGACAGCCCATCTGTGTTTAGAGAATGGAGACCAGTGTACAGGACAGTGTCGTGTCTGCCTGTGTACACGGCTCAGCCGTGGTGAGAACGGAGACCAACGTGCAGGGCGGTGGTGTGTCTGCCCCTCAGGAGTCAGCTCCGGCACGGGGCAGGCTTCTGCAGGGCTCATTCTGGAACGATCTGGAAGGCCCGACACTGCAGGAACAGTCAGTCACAGCACTGAATGTGGATGGTGCTGCTTCTAAGACAAGGCAGAAGCACTGTATCACGCCCCCGAGTTCTCCGAAAATATGGCCTGACCAGTCACGGCAGCTGGCCTCAGAACTGGCCAGCGCGACAGCACCTTCAGGGGCATCTGTCCCTCAGGCGACACATTGGCCACAGGAAGGGTCTCCTCTGTAAAGTCAGACAAGGCCACTGAGGGTTCGGGTGAGGGGCCAGCTCTCAGTGATTCCCCAGGCAGTGAGGGCCCACCAAGATGGGTGGCTGATCATGAAAGGAAAAACCCCAAAACTTCATTGTTTTTTTCTCCCTGAATAGATTTATGCAACTGGCACCACCGTATTACTTCAGTAACCTGCCCCCTAGTGAGAGCAAGGACCTTCTCCAGCAAGCACTGGCCCACCTGGCCCCCGTCTCTACCTCCACGACGAAAAAGGAGCAGAAAACGTACGACAAGGGCCCAGAGACTGCTGCTGAACAGCGTTGTGTGGTCCAGTGAGGTGCCGGACCCCCGGACACTCCAAGAGTGCTGCTAAACAGCACTGTGTGGTCCACTGAGGCGCCCGGCACCACCTGGGGCACGAAGGACTCCGAGACTACTGCCAAACAGCGCTGTGTGATCCAGTGAGTTGCTCTCACCCCCAGGGCCCCCAGGTGTATAGAGGACCTGGGGCTCCACGACGGGGCTGGGAGTGGGCAGGGTGGGTGAACGAAGGCTGTCACACCCACACCAAAGTCTTCAAAAGGACACTTCGTATTCTTTTTTAAAAATCCCCTCACGTTTTTATTGCGTTCTTTAAATTACTACTGCATGTTTTTCTTCTTCTTGGAAAGTTTATAATCAACTGTTCAGAATTTGACCAAAACGGGAAAAATACAGACATTTTGTAAATGTCGCAGCCACGGTGGCAGAGCCCTACGTTTTCGTAGAGGACCTTCCTCTGAATAAAGTCACGAGTTTTTCACCGAGTCTCCACTGAGCCTTGTGCGGGAGGGTCAGAGGGAGAGGTGCTGGGTCAGCGTGTCCATGATCTCGCCCAGCCTCTCGGCCGGCACCAGCATCACTGTACGCAGGGGCTTCATGGGGACGTCGTCAAAGGACCACCGGCCACCCAGGCACGAGTCGCTCTCCTCCTGCACCGAGTAGCTGAAGGTGAGGCTGGCCTTCTGAAGAAAGGAGGGAGCACGGTGAGAAGTGAGACAGGCTGCGGGCACATCCCTCTACAACCAGGACTACCTGGGGGCTGGGAGCAGACAGGTCAAAGAGGCAAAACCCAGGAGAAACGGGACACTGAGGCGGAAGTGGCCCCGAGCCCACCAGAGCTTCTGAGCCTTCATGGGGGGGTATAGACGGAGCTGCCCTTCCGTTCCCTCTGACAAGCATGTCTGGGCGGCACCTCCGCCACCACCGTCTGTGGGCTGCCGGATTCTGGACTCCCATGACATCTCTTTCTCCACAAACCCCCGTGTGACCGACGAGTGGAGTGCAAACCCCAAGGCCCCGACAATTCTCAGCGTCTAGAGCTCTCCCCGTGCTCACGGCTGCATCCCTAGGAACACACTTCTAAAGCTCCACGCAGACGCCCACGCTCCCTAAAGCCCAAGTGGGGAATGAAGGGAATTCACTGAATCTACTCGGGGAAAGTCTTCAGAGTAATGAGTGAACTCCCCCAGCCTCGCCTGTTCCCCTCAAGTTTGCGCCCCAATTCTAGAGGATGTGGGATGCAATGTCCTCGGGTGCCCTGACCATCCTGTCACATGTCACCTTCAGAGGAAGGAAAGCGTAATCACCCCAGAGGGGAGACATTCTCTGACAAAGCAGCTTCCACACTGACCACCACCTACCCTCTGACTACCTGAGTGTGGATTCTGTGTCCCAGCTGTGAGCCCAGTGACTCCAAGCTCGTGGGCCAAGCTCAGGTGAACAGGCCCTTCCAGTCAGTGCTCAGAGCACCTGGCGGCAGGGCCACGCCTTCCCCTGCCCCCCAGGCCCATCACCACATGGCAGGTGATGGCGGTGTGAGGACGTGCTGTGTGCGAGGCAGCACTGTGCCAGCTCCCGGGGACACACTTGAAGGACTGACGTAACTGGGGCTGTCAGATCTGTCTGCTGCCGAGGAAACTGACAACAGGCGAGGAAACCCGCAGGCAGGTCCTACCTCGTAGAAAAACTCCTCCTCTGCGTTTGCAAACATGAGCTCCTCTTTCTTCGGGTCGCCCCACTTCTTCCTGGAGTTGGTCTTCCCTGCTTCCACGAACGTCTTACTGATTAGAAGGTAGAAGTAACACTTCCCACACGGCTTATTCGTTTTGTGTGCCTCTGCCACTTCTTTCCTGCAAAGAACACACGCGAGCTCACACACTGGGTCGCACACACACGAGCTCCCACCCCCGGGCGAGCACACACGTTAGCTCACGTGCCGTGGCAGGGGAGGTGGCACTGGGCCCAGTTCCGGCAGGACGACATCTAACCGTCATCCCAGTGACGCATGCTCAGCACCATAAGAGCAATGCTAACTTTGACTCAAACTGGCTGTGTGTGTCTCACCTCTTGTGTTTAAGACCTTTCTGGACACTTAAAGGTACTGCACTAAAAACAATCCAACCCCTAAGGGACAGGACCAGGGCTGTGGTTTCGTTAATCAAACACCACTGGGATGTAGGACATTGGTCTGGTTTTCGTGAATGTAACCGTTGAGCATTTTAGTCCCGCTGTACAGGTTTACTTGTGAGGACAGTGAAAAGCTCTGACCAAGACGACGGGAGGAAATGTGTATGAGTCTATTTTCATACCATTCAGATCTTTCAAAGCCTTGACCTTTAAATTACGGCCACAAAGAATCAAGTTCATAAAGAGCCACTGCCTGTACGTGAGCTCCTCACAGGCAGTTTCTCCCGCCCCCACCACACTGGACTGGGGCTGAGGCCACCGCTCCGGCACACCCCGCTCCAGCCACGCTCCCCGGCGTCCCCGGTGCACTTACTGCAGCTGCTGGTGCATGGGCAGGGCAATCTGCGGCGGCACGTTGAGGAACCGCTCGCTCAGGAGGAGGCCCACCGGCCTGCTCGTGTCCCCGAGCACCCTGTCCAGTCGCTCCACCACGCTCTTCTCTGCATTCTGCTCACAGCAGTGCAGGATCAGCTCTTTAATTTGCTCCGCACACTGGGTCCCCTAGAACACAGAGGCATGGTTCTGCTTACAGACCTGCTCACAGGAGAAATGCAACGTGGGATCCGGGGCTCCAGACAGGTCTTGGCTGGCTGCTGCCACAGCCTTGACCTGTGGTCCAGCGCAGACTGCGAGGTGCCCCTCACAAGCGACAAGGTCTGCCTGTGCAGCCCACCCACCAGAAAGGATGGGTTCAACAGCATCCAGTCACCCCGGAGCTGGAACTCTAATCCATCTCATTCACAGACGGGAGCAAGTGGAAATTTCACCGAGCAAATTCAAAGACAGCCACTCTGGGGAGGGCTGTAGCTGGTCTGCTTTTATCGGAACTCTTCAGTGAGTCAGAAAAATGGATCAGGACGTGACCTGGGAAAGCAAGGCAGTGTCCCAGTGTCCCTGTCCCCGGCTGCAGCTGAGACACGCACAGGCCCAGCTCCTAAGGCAACACCAGGGCTCGCTACAGCCGAGGGTCAGCGACTGTACTTGGGTCAAGGAACCAAAGCAACCACCCTGAACAAAGATGGCAGGATTTCACCAGAGCACATGCCCTTAGAGCACACAGCCTGTGTGACTGTCCCCTCGTGTGTGCGACGGAAGTGCATTGGGCCCAATACGACCCGGAAACACCTACCTTTCTCTCGGTCAAATTGAAAAGGCTTATGAAGCCAAAAATCTCATCTTCATCCACATCCACTTCATCACCACTGTCTTCAGATACATCTGTTTGCTATTTTAAAGAGAAATGGAATTTACACTTGGTTGGCAAGACGTATGATGCCAAGTCTTGGAATCTAGATCTCGTCTGGTTTTTCACACTTTTCAAAAGCACATCTTTGTTTCCCTGTCACCAAGTAAGAAAGGCATCTGCTGATGCCAGGTGGCCCTTCGTGTCCCCTCAGCTCGGGCCCTCTGCAGACACCCTGGCTCTATGACATCTACGCCAAACGTCTTCTACAAGATTCCTGAGACTTTTTCCCTGAGCAGAGTCTCAGTACATGTACGCAGAACAATAAAAGCTCCGGAGGTAACCATCCCACACTCTTCTCCAAACTGTGAGCTGAGCCAGGCCGTCCCTCTGAGGGCCTCAGTGATGTAGGTCAAGTCCATGCACAGCTCCAAGCACCTGCCAGCTTGACCATCAGTGAGACTCGGCTGTGCTGTGGGCTGTCTGGACCTGCCACCTGAGCATGAGGAAGGAAAAGTGAGTGAGAGAGGAGAGGACCGGAGTTAAGAAGCAGAGAACACTATGAAGGAAACAGCACACTGCGGTGCATGCTCCAGGGCTGGTGAGGACCCTCACCGGTCTCAAAAGCGGAGTGGGTGCTGAGGGGTCAGCGTGGTGTTGGATGAATGACTAGAGGAATGGAGGAAGTTTCAGAAGAGAAAGGACTTGCCAAGAATTTTGACTCTGAGGACAAAGAAAAGGGGCTGGAAGGTAGCTGGGATGGGGCATTAGACGGAATGGACTCTTGTTCTGCTTCTTTTTACCACCACTGGCTTCTAACAGGTACTGAGAAGAGAAACAGAGGTGGGGTGTCTGCACAAGCCCCCCAGGAGCCACATGCAGGTGCTGCCCTCAGCACCTCAGGCTCAACGAGGGGCTAGTGCTGCCAGCACCCTTGGACGGCAGGGTCACCCTCCTCCGGGGAGTGGGAGAGGGGGAGAACACGGTCACAGAGGAGACTCCTGTCCAGACAGGGACACAGCACCTCCAGCCCCACAATGACCTCTTACAAAGTGGCCCCTGCACGCCTCCCACTGCAGGCTGGGGGCTGCACACCCTCCCTGTGAACCCCGGCTGACCTCTGGTTCCATCACAGGAACACCCCCACTCTCCCACCCCGGGTTCTTTGAGAACCCAGCCAGCATATGGAGGGTCCCATGCAGACAGCCAGCAGGTCCCCAGATCTGGTCCCAGCCTGCTTGCCAAGTGGGTGTGCAACCTTGAAGTGAATCCCCACACAGCCTCCCCACAGCCCCCGTGCCAGGCAGCAGGCGAGGGGTCCCTGTCCAGCAGAGAAGCACACAAATGACCATGGCTGCCCTGAGCATCACGTGACAGGTGAGTATCCTGGAAGATACAGGCAGGGTCAGCAGAGCACCCAGCCACTTTCTTGGACTTTCTCCATCTAACAAGGAGGCTGTCTCTCTCCATCAATGTCACCGTTCCCTGTACCTGTGACACTGCCCCACTAATGATCCTCCTACCCGACTCCTTAGTCAGGCAGCCTCCTCCACAGCTGTCGCCCCCGGATCAGAGCGTGTGTGACCACAGCCTCTGTCCCCTGCATCTCAGGGCTACCTCGGCCAATAATCTGAGGAACTAAATCACCATTTATCTGCTAACAACCCCCAAGTCTCCCACCTTGATCTGCTTAATGTCCTACCTGCAGGTGCCACGGGCACCTCAAACTCAAATTGTGCAAATCCAGATGCAGGCTCCTATACTGGCCAGCTCCTCCTCCTGGATCCCAGTCAGCCAAGCCAGGAACCAGGATGTTGCCCTGGGTACCCTTCCCTCACTCACTGTCTCGTGTCATCACTCACCAAACCACCAGACCCCACCTCTTCTGGCTCAACCTATTTCTCTCCTCGCCTTGGCCAATGCCTGGACGGCCGACTGAACAGCCCTGAAGGCTGCGCTGGTGCTTGAGCCGCTCCACTCCTCCGTCCACCCGCACCCCACAGGACAGAGTGTAGGCATGCACGTGCACACCCCCACTCACCTTGATCACACTCCCGATGTGGTTCTGCTGTATCAGGAGATCCGTGAGTTCTGCTGTGTTCACAGGAGCCTTTAGAAAAAGCTGAAAGGATGGAGAAACCACTGTAAACTGAACTCAAAGTATGATTTCCAGTAAAACTTCTAATTCCTATGCCAAATCTGGAGGCAAATGGGGCAGCAATCAGCAGCTGAGGGGAGGGTAGTTTGGGACATAGAACAGTGGATTAGGTTAGTCATAGGAGGGGTCGGAGCAAAGACACAGGAACAGGTTAGCAGTGGAGAGGCAGGTCAAGGACAGAGCGGGGTGAGGTCGCAGAAAGCCTGTGCTGGATGAAGGTGTGATGTCACAGAGAGAATGTGCACATAAGACAATACCTGCTGCAGTAGTCTCTTAATCCCATCATAATCTCTATCGGAGATGGAATACGCTTCAAATTCAACGTTCACTTCCTGTAACACAAAGGCATCGCACATCAAGGATGAGTTATCTGTTTCTTCTCCCTGCCTCCCCACTCTTTGTAGCTGATGATGGAGAAGCAGCAGGAAGAAAAGTGTCAACTTAGGAACACAAGGCCTAGATTCTGACATTGTCAAGTACCATCAAAATCACCACCTGCAGTTCTATTCACGGATCAGAGGGCAAGGCACCTTCCAACTACGTCCTCAGTCTTCGGGCAACACCTTGACCTGCTCAGCATGTAGCGGTTACGTGCTGTCGAGTTGCCTGCGATTCCAGATGACCCTGTGTAAACAGCTCGGAACCCTGCTCTATGCTGAGCCAATTTCATTGTCTCTGACACACCTTCCCCCGTTACCCCAGTCACTGAGTTAATCCATCTCATCTGGGGACCTCCGACCCTCCACGCATGATGTCCCTCTCCAAGGACTGGTCCCTCCTGGACACATGCCCAGAGTATGTCAGATGGAACTTCAAAACCCTTGCTTCCAAGGAGCAGCCTGGTTTCACCCTCTGCAGAATGGACCTGTTCTCTTAACAGTCTATAGTATGTTGAATACTGTTCTCCAGCACCACAACTCAAAGACATCAATTCTTCTACGATTCCTTGTCATTGTCCGTCCCTCTGATGCAGAAGAGCAAGGAACTGAGACGACCATGGTGAAAGGCAGAGAAGGTAGGATCTCAATGCAGTTCCAGAAGCCACAACGAAGAAACCATGCTTTACAATCAAAACTAGGAGATGTCATCGATCACACGGTCCACATCCCCATGCCGGTGTTAGCTCTGATCTGTCCATGTCCCCACGCCAGGGTCAGCCCAGAGCCCATCCACCCGGTTCATGTCCCCACACCCGTGTCAGCCCTGAGCCTCTGTCCACATCCCCACGCCAGTGTGAGCCCCCAGCCTGTCCACGTGGTCCACGTCCCCGCACCAGAGTCAGCCGCGGGCCTGTCCACCTGGTCCACGTCCCGGCACCGTGAGCCCCGATTCGGCCCATCTAGTCCACGTCCCCGCACCGTCACCCCCAGGCCTGTCCACCTGGTCCACGTCCCCGCACAGTCAGCCCCGATTCGGCCCATCTGGTCCACGTCCCCGCACAATCAGCCCCGATCCTGTCCACGTGGTCCACGTCCCGGCACCGTGAGCCCCGATTCTGCCCATCTGGTCCACGTCCCCGCACCGTCACCCCCAGGACTGTCCACCTGGTCAACGTCCCCGCACCTGTCAGCCCCGATCCTGTCCACGTGGTCCACGTCCCCGCACCATCACCCCCAGGACTGTCCACCTGGTCCACGTCCGCGCACCTGTCAGCCCCGATCCTGTCCACGTGGTCCACGTCCCGGCACCGTGAGCCCCGATTCGGCCCATCTGGTCCACGTCCCCGCACCGTCAGCCCCGGGCCCGCTGGGCCGATGGAGGAAGGACCCTCTCCCGCGTGCCCCCCGCTCCTGTCCGCTCTGCCGTCCTACGACCGCCCGGTCACTAACACAAGCTGCTCGAGGCGACGACGCGCCCCGTCAAGGCCCCTCGGGCCCCCGAGACGCCCCAGGAGAGGCTCCCACCCGCGGCCCCTCCGGACGCGCTTCCACGAGGCTCCGCCGGTCCCTCCCGGGGCGCGGCCCACCTGGTCCACGAGCTCGTCCTCCTCCTCACTGTCGCCCTCGTCACTGTCCTCAAACTCAGTTTCCTCTTCCTCCTCGTCCTCCTCGCGATGGGCCGGGGGCCCCGGCGGCCGCGGAGTCTCGAGCCCCACCGCCCGCCTCTTCGCCCTGGAAGCCATGACGTGCCACGCGAACTGCGCCTGCGCGGCACTCGTCCCGCCCCCTGACCCCTTAGCTTCCGGGACGTCCCACTCGGGTGGGGGGGACAGGGACGCGGAAGGAGCTCGGGGCCGAGCCCACGCAGGTTCTGGCGCCTGGATTCCATAGGTATTAATTTTACAGAAACGTCACTTCTGCTCTTCTGAGGCCACGTATTCTTTTTTCTCTCTCCTGTCTGCACTGAAAGGCATTCTCCCCCCGGTGCATAGTGGTATGGACCGCCCAGGCCCCGCCCTGCTACTTGACAGCGCGCATGCGCAGACTCTGTGCGCCCCGGGTTCTCGGACCAGGACGCTGGGTCCTCACGCCCGTCCCATCGCGCCCTGGTCTCACCTGCCCGCAGGTAGGTGTCAGCGCCCACGTGCAGAGGACAGGCGACCGCAGGCCGGAGGGACAGGGGGACAGGAGCCCGTGGCTCTAAAAGTACCCCCTGCTCATGCTCAGGATCCCGGTGAAGTTGCAGCTGCCTCCCGGGGTCCCTGATGGTGCTCGTCAGTGAAGGCTCGGTGGTTCGAACCCACAACTCGGCAGGCGAGAGCTGTGTCCAGCTGCTACTGTAAAGATCTACATCCCTGGAAAGCCTTTGGAGCAGTTCTTCCGTGTTCTAAAGAGTCACTGTAAGTCAAGGTTAACTCAATAGGAGTGGGTTTGGTGTTTCTCTTTTCCCAGCGAGCACCTGATGACACAGTGATGCACTTGACTGCTAGCTGAAAAGTTGGCAGTTCAAACCCATCCACAGGAAGAAGGTCTAGCCATCCATTTCCTTTAGAGATCAGAGACAAGAAGCCTTCATGGCAAAACAACTATGAGATATCATCCTACCCCAGTCAGAATAGCAAAATTCAACGGAGCAGCAAACAATTGCTGGGGAGGTTGTGGAGAAACTGGAACCCTTATTCACTGTTGGTGGGAGTGTAAAATGGTGCAACTACTGTAGAAGGCAGTGTGGCACTTTCTCAAAAAGTTGCAAATAGAGATACCATTTGACCCAGCAATTCCACTACTGGGAATATACCCCAAAGAGATCATAACTGACATCCAAGCAGATATATGCATACCCATGTTTATTGTGGCTTTGTTCACAATGGCAAAGAGTTGGAAACAACTTAAGTGCCCATCAACAAACGAATGGATAGAAAAGCTGTAGTATAGTCACACAAATGGAATACTACACTGCCTTGAAAAACAAAGAGCTCATGAATTATTATTCAAAATAGGTGACCCTGGAGGACATTATGCTGAGTGAAATATCTCAGTCACAGATAAATACTGCATAGTGTCACTGTTGTAAAACAAGACTGACATCGGGGTTGGGAAACTAAGGAAAGAGAGGATAAGAATGTACATGGCATTGAAACAGATGAGGGAGAGAACTGTATGAAGGAATATATGATTAGGTATTATTGGCATAACAAGAGTCCAGAATAAGCTGCATAGTAAAGTGAACTGGGGGAGGGGACTCTATAACAATGAAATAATTTTTTTTTCCAAAGAAAAAAGCAAGCTGAGGGGAGGGGGACAAATGTGCAACAGTGAATGAATGCAAGTCCAAGTTCTCTATAAACTTTTATTAAAATCTCAATAAAGAAAAGGAAAAAAAGAAACCCTCATGGGGCACCTCTCTGTCACATGGGGTCAGTGAGGTTTACTTGATAAGGCTTAACAACAACCCATCATGACTGTAGAAAGAGCCATTTAGACGGAAGGCTGGGATTTCAGGCAGGACAGTCCCACCGGTCCCTCGGGCAGTGACCAATCAGAAGCCTTGGCTGTGCACCTCAGCCAGTCCCTTCCCTGATAGTGGTGTTGTTTGCTAAGGGCAGTGTCCATTCTCTGGTCTTGGCCCTTTGTCCCTGCAGGACCTCCCCCTGCCTTCCTGGAGAGATGTCTTTAGACATTTGGCTCCTACCCCGGGTGGAATGGGCCAAATCACGTGGTCAGTTGTGCCTGTCAAACATGGAAGGGAAAATCAATTCTGAAAAAAGTTTGGACTTTAAAATTGCAGTCACTAAAGAAAACAAACAGGTCTATCTTGGAGGAAATGCAACCAGCATGATCCTTAGAGGCAAGGACTGTGGAACTTGACCTCATGTACTTTGAGCATCTTGTCAGGAGGGACCAGTCTTTGGAAAAGACTGTCAAGTTAGGAATGGTGGAGAGGCGAAGAAAGAGACTAAGACCCCCAACAGGATGATTGGATCAGTGTCTGTGAAGATGTGCTGCAGAGTGTTGGAGATTGTGAAGACGGTGCAGGAGAGGGCAGGGTTCAGGTCTGGTGTGTTCGTAGGGTCTCCGTGAGCAGGAGGTGATTCAGTGGTACCTCACAGCGCTAACAGGAAGCAGTCGTGTGCAGTGTGCTTGCCGATGGATTTTTCCCTCAGAGCCTCGGGAAAGGGCTATAGAAGGATAAAGAATCATCAGCACTGATGCCCCTAAGTGCACGTTAGAGAGGCTTTGAGAAGGGATGAGGGTGGTAATTTGATTTTTTTATTTTTCATGCCCTGTAGCACGTCTCATGGAATCTCCTAACAGTTATTATCCTGAAACCTAAGCTTGCATTAGCATCCGCTTCATTGCCGGGGAGAGCCGTAGACCAGGGCCCAGCAGAGACATTTGCCTGTTGGTGGTAGGTAGATTGATTTCACTCTCCTGCATCTGCATTAAACTAAGCCCTTTGCATGACGACAGCACACTGAGTCTTCCCACCTCTGTGTATTCCTAAACATGTCTGTCTGCCAAGTCCATGACACAGCACAGCACAGGTGGCGAGAGCACAGCCTGGAAACCACACTGCCTGGAGACAAGCCCAGCTTTGTTTAAGCTCTGAAATTTCTGATGACTTGTGTCTTTTGTCTGCCTCAGTTTCCACCTCTGTGCAATGGGATAGACCTCGGATTGAGTACATCCAAAGTTCTTGGAGCTCTTTTGGTCTAGTGGGTCAAGAGTTGTGCTTCCAGCCCAGAAGCATGTGGTTCAAATTCACCAGCTGCTCTGGGGGAGAGAAAGATGGGTCATCTCCTCCCATCTGATTTGTATCCTCTGAAAACCCACTGAAAGATGACCTGTGAGTCATTTCCAACTTGATGACACATAACAACTTCAACAAAGCTTCTTAGAACAATACTTGGTGGTTTTAAGTGCTCATTTAGTGTTGGTTGAATACTGACTAAGGAAGACCAAAGAAGAATGGTTGTCCTTGGATTGTGATGTTGGCAAAGTATTAAGTGTACCACGGACTGCCAAGCAAGTACAACCCCTTAGAGGCAAAGACGGTGAAACTTGGTCTTACATACTTTGGGCGTGTTAGGAGGCTCTAGTGCTTGGGAACCTCAAATTTGGAAGTGTGGAGGGTGAGTGAAAGAGAGGAAGACTCTCAAGAAGACAGACTGACACAGTGAGTGCACAGTGGGCGTCAGGGTGTGGAGGTCACGAGGATGGTGTGCAGGACGGGCCAAGGTTTCCGTCTGCTGTCCCTAGATTGCTGTGATCTGGACGTCACTCGATGGTACCTACGAACAACAGCAACCTCACTGTCTCCTTCCCATCACGCAGCAGCCTCCAAGCTTGTGGAACCCCCTCCCCCGAGTTGATGCCGACTGTGACGCCTCCCTCCAGTTAGTGCTGACTGTGACCCCTGCCCGCAGTCGTTGCCAACGGTGACCCTTACCCCCAGTTGATGCCGACTGTGAGAGGCCCTGTGGGACAGAGTCTAGCTGCCCTTTGGAGTTCCAAGGCTCTGATCGTCAGAGCTGTAACATGTAGACTGCCACACCTTTGTCCTGCGAAGCAGATCGTGGACTCAAACTGCAAGTCTTCTGTTTAGCAGCAGAGAACTTCAAATTCCCACTGAACAGGGTCCATCGCTTTAGGTAGAAGTGGGGTGGACATGTGATAGGAGCCCAGGGCCTTCTGCTCCTGGCAGCCTTGGGCTTCAGCTTTTAAATCCCCAGACTCAAGCCAGTATTCCTGGAAGGACTTAGGTGTCAGTAAAAACCCACTGAGTTGTATCTGCCGCTCGGTGGCATGGCAGGTTCCTCAGACCCCCATGATATACCGTGCACGGGCTGCAGAAAGAACAAACAGACGTGTTTGGGATGAAGTGCTCTTCCCAGAGGGAAGGGCGATGATGCTGCATCTCACACACTTCAGGCATGCTGTCCGGAGGGGCCGCCTGCAGAAGGACATCGTGCTTGGAAACTAGAAGATGAGCAAAAGAGACGAAGATCTTCAACAAATGGCTTCACACAGTAACGGCAGCTGGGGTTTGAGCACAGCAGAGATGGTGCGGATGGCACGGGATGGAGCAAGGCTGGGCGTCGACTCAACACAGCAACAACGTCAGGGAGGGACAGAACCTGTATGGAACGTCTCTTGGCAACGTGACCTGATTGATTGTCCTGTAAGGCAAGCCTGAAATTCACGGGGAAGCCCAACAGGATTTGCAGGCTGGAACTCAGGAATATGCTAGAGCTGCTGAGCACGGCTGGAGTTTCCTCCCCTGAGAAGCCTCAGTTCTGTTCTGAGGGTCTCATCTGACTGATGACGGGCGTCCAGATAATCGAGGCTCATCTCCCTGACTTAGTGCCCACTGATTACACACTTCACTCATATCTACAAAATACCCATGACAGCAGCTCGGCTAGCATTTGTGCGTGAAGAAGGACCTCAGCAGACGCAGCCCTGGTGGTGCTGTGGTTAAGCGTCAGCCGCTAACAGCAAGGATGGCATTTCCACTCCTCCAGCTGCTCTGTGGGAGGGAAGTGCGGCAATCTGCTTCTCTAAGGAATACGGCCTTGGAACTCCAGTGGGACAGCCCTTTTGTCCTGTCCCTTGAATCGGAAGTGATGTAACAGAAGAGCTGGGGTTTTCTTGGGTGTGTGGTGCACATGGATAACGTGCTTGGGGACTAACAAGATGTTAGGAGGGAGAGTCCACCCAGAGGGGCCTCGGAAGAAAGGCCTGGCAACCTACTTCCAAAAGGAGCCCAGTTCTGCTCAGATACACCTGATTTTGGCATGCATCGGCACAATAACAGCTGGCTTTTTAGAGCCTGGTCAGGTTGCTCCATTAAAACTGGCCATGGCAGAAGGGTCATCTCAGCATTTCTGAGTGAGTCACATCTTGAGTAACTTGGAGAATTGATGGAAAAGCTGCCGCACATCTCTGCACATCCCCAGGTCTGCAGCTTGGCAGCAGCAATGACGAGGACTTGACTTCGTGGTCGTTATTTGTTCACCTCCTTCTGGTTGCTTAGATACAGCTACTGAGCCATTTTCACTAAGGGGCTTCGTGGATACGATAGATAACATTGCAGAAACGGTTCAGCAGGAACATCTAACTAACCACTTCCAGAATGAACGGTTTTTTTCTTTCTAGACCATGGAGCAGTCTTCCAGATGCCTTGGTTGTTATCAACCGTCATGGGATATTCATGAAGCAGCTAGTTGTGGGTCTGATCCTGCGTGTGGGCTGATGATGTGTGTTCCAAGCAGAGTTCCCTACAATTCATTACCGCGTGACTGTGCTGACTTCTCTCAGTGTTCCTCCGTCGCTGGACATTGCTAGCCTTGTACACGACATGTGGGACGGCTTCCTGTTTGTCTGTGCACGCACACGTGGAACGGCTCCCTGTTTGTGCACACACACGTGCTTGGGCGTTCTCAGCTCTCGTTCCTCGGAGTGTAATTACAGCAAAAGGAGTATGAACTATAGAAAACGCTGGATGCAGATTGACAGGTGATCTCCAAAAATTTTCCAAGATCATCTCATGATATTGGACAATGCTGATAAAATGTCCTTTGAAAAGTTGTAAGTAAAATTATATCATTATATTCTAAAGGGCTTACATGTTCTTAGTATGTTTCTTGAAATGGAAATAAACTTGTGTTTGTGTGCTTACGGGAGCTCTGGGGGGACTAGCAGGTAAGGAGTTGTGCTGCCAACCCAAAAGCGTTGGGTTCTAATCTCCCACCTGGACTGGAGGGTCCGCTGTGAGTCAGTTCACACACGATGACAGTGAGTGAGAGTGTACTTTTTATTATTATTAATTTTTTTTTTTTTGCATGTATGCCATCAAATCGGTACAGAGGAGATTGCCCTTCCTTCTCCAGCAGAGCATCTGGTGGATTTGAACTGCATACCTCTGGGATTCCAGTGCAGCTTCTTGCCACTAGGCCACCAGAACTCCCTTGTGAGAGTACATTTTTACAATGTAAGATATCAGCTTTTCACTTGCTGCTAAGACAGCCCAGACCTTGCACTAGCTTCTTCTTTTTTTTATAACATTTTAAAAAATTAATTTTAGTGAAAGTGTATAGAGACTTAGGGTTTCCAGACATTCATTGTTGCACTTTCCTCCCTGTCCACCCCTCCCCCCAATTCACTCTTCTTGAAAAGTCAAAGTAAAACTCTTTCATTGTTATACAATCCCTCCCCCCAAGTCCACTCCACTGTGCAGCCTTCGTTCTGGACTCCTGACATGACGATCATACCCAATCATATATCCCTTTTAAACAGTTCTCTCGCTCATCTGTTTCAATGCAATATGCATCATTCCTCCCCTCCTTCTCTGTCTTCCCGCAACTCTGATGTCAGTCCCGTTTTACAACAGTGGTCCTCTGCAGTATTTGTCCTGCACCAGCCTCTTGTACTTGTGGACGTGTGCTGGCTGGCTGTAGATGAGGGGCCTGATGTGCCTCTCCCAGTCTATCTCGTCCCAGCACGCTTACCTCCGTCTTATCAGCAGGAGCCCTCTAAACGCCAAGTCATCCCTCCAGAGAGAGAGCAGCAGTCGTCACCAGTTCTTGCTTGTGCTGTTCTCCCAGCATCCTCTGGATTCTAAGACCCATGTCCCCTGTCTGTCACAGAGCCGGTGACCACTGCCAGCCAGCGATGAAGGTCCTTTTACTGAAAGATCCTAAAGAGGACGAGTGTGGCCAGGATCCGTACATCAGGGTGAGGCCACGGAGCGTGAGCTCAGCTGCTGCCCTCGGGAAGCTGGAGGGTGGGGTGCCTGCGCGTCCAGCAGTGTCCTGTCAGGATGTCGTCCTCATCTCTGTGGCGCAGGCAGCCCAGGATGGGCTCTCAATGACCTAAAGTCTTCATTTGTAGGAATTGGCATCCTTTGGACTGGAAGCCACACTGATCCCGGTTCTGTCCTTCGAGTTTCTGTCCCTCCCCAGCTTCTCTGAGAAGGTAAGGCTTACTGCTGTGCGCATATTTGGTTTTATGGGGGTCTTTGCCAGCCCACATGGAGGAGCCATGCTGTCCCCTGCATTTACTTCACCTCCAGACTTTACAGTGGGGGCACACAGCTTTACTCTGCACGTTCTCTGGGGGACCTTGGTGTCTGCTCCTCAAGAAAGAGATCCCAACCTTGCTTGGGAGTTGGGGGTTTCTCAGGGGGTCTGATCCCCACTCTGTTCCCTAGAGCCTCTTCATCCGTTCATTCTCATCCTCTCGTTTAATCCACGCCCACCCCAACATGCCAAGCTCTGCAGAGGAGGCTGGGTAGTTATTATTCACATTTTGGAGAGGAAATCACTGAGACTCAGGCTGGTACTTTGGCCAAGCATCCAGCAAGTAAGGCAGGGCTGGGACTTGAACCTGGGACCTCCCCACCACTGCCCTACTGACCTGTCTAGAACTGGACCTGAGAGCTTTCTGGGTATCCTAGGAAGACTTCGGTGCTGGCCACCTGCAGTGTCCCCCAAACTGCCCCTTTGCAGACAAAGGACCCAGAGTTCTGGGCAATTTCCTAGGATCGGGGTGAGGGGCTGGCTCACTGGGCCTCATGGCCTCCGATAGTGCTGAGGATTCACGCTGTAAGCCTGCCCCCCTCCCTAGAAGGCCCCCTGGTTTTCTCTCTGGGTTTGGACAAAACATCAGGTTACCCACTCCGTCCTGGACGACCTCCCAGCAAGTGCGTAACCAAGTTGTCTTTAAGCTTGACTTGAGTCTATTAACTGCAGCAGTGTGTGAACTCGTTTGAACTGTTGTGAGAATGACTGGAAGCAGCTTGGGGACATGAAGTAAGCTCACGCTGTTGGAAAAACGGTGCCCGGAGACTTTCTTAGCACAGGGCAGCCCCAGACTGGGAGTTTATGTCGTGAAAATGACCATCTTCGACATGCAGTAAATGCAGCCAGGTCAGCCTGTAGCTGACAGACGCTGAGCGGGCGACTTTGATGCTTCCCGGCCAGGGCCCTGGGTCTGCAGGCTTAGAGCTGAGTGTCCAGGCCTCGCAGGGGCCTTTCAACAGCTGCTGTGAAAGAGCAGAGAGCTCACTTGTAGGCTCCGGGGGTCATTGAGCTGGAGCCCCCGCAGAAACCTCCCAGCATCCATGACCAGCCTGCCCCTCGGGGGCTGCTGCCTGCACTGTGGGAAGCCCATCACAGGCCGGGCCTAAGAGCTGGGGCTGGGCCACAGAGACACACGTTCAGGTCCGCCCCGCCACTCCCCGTGGACACTGGTCTGTCCCTTCCCGTCTGTGGGCCTCTGGTTCTTCATCTCTCAGCCGAGAAGAGCCCTCCTGTGCCGCTGTGTCATGTCCCAGTCAGAGAGGTCATGAGCCCGAGATGGCCCAGTGCCTCCTCACATACGAGGTCAGGGAATTACGTCCTGTTATTACCTTTGAAAACTGGGGCTTCAGAATGGATGTCGCTGTGAATTTTCCAGTTTCATTACCAATGCAGGTCAAGTCTTCCTCCTTCCTGCACCCCACCTCACCCTCAGGCTGATTCACACTGGTCAGCCTGCATTGTGCCTGTGTCGTTCC